GCACCGCACCACAGCACACAGAGGGCACATAGCAACAGCAGGCGGCCAGTCATCATCATCATCACGGCTGCACACACAGTCTAGAGAGGGGCAAAGAGAGAAGGATGAGAAGAACACACAAACGCATCAGCAGCAGCAGCATGGAGAAGAAGGGGTGGCGTTTACATGAGGGTTGTTGTCATGAGCATGGGAGACGCGTGCACGCAGGAATAACAAGCAACAATAAAACACCGGACAGCACGGCGCACAACTCCATGGCATTTAAAGCCCTCCCGCAGCTGCCCCCAAAATGGAAAAGAAAGAGGACGCCACGGTGCGGCAGGAACACAGAGATGACGGTACAGAAAAGGATGCCAAACCGGCGTGAAAAAAACACACAAAAAAAAATTCTTCCCCCACAGCGGCCACATCCAAAAACGCAAGTAATAACAGAAACAAACACCACACACGGCAACTCACAGGGCAGTGAATACCCTGTCGCCAACCTTCATGGCTGCTCGCCCCGCACTCCTCGGGAGTCCATCGCTCCGCCGCCTTCCTCCTTCCCGCGGCACCCCCACACGAACAGCCACGGCACAAAATCGGGTCCATCCGCGTCCGTCGCCACGCCACCCTCAACGACCCAACAGGCAACCGCCCAACGAATGTCGCGGAAATCACACACCCGCGCTGAAGCACGCGACGCAACGTCATGTCACGTGGACCCCTCCGTCGGCAGCACGTCGTGTCGATCGTTTGGCCGGCACACGGAACAATCAGTTGACATAACAGAGAAGTAAGGCAGGCACTCAATCAAGGACTCTCCACACACACACGGCTCTTTTGATGCCGCCGCAGCTGCCACGGGCACGGTATCCGAGCGGAAAATGACAAGCAGTAAAAAAAGCCTCGCAAAAGGAAACCAATCCACACGCCCATATGCAAAGCGCCACTCGGACTGGTGCAGCTGCAGGGTCTGTGAGAAAAAATGCGACTTACTGAATCCCGCCAACTATGTCAGTCTCCCCTCCCACCAATGCCACGCATAATGCACGGTGTGCGTCCACAGGCATCCACTCCCGGTGCCCTAGCAACACTTCAGAAACAAACGCAACAGGAGTAATACAACGAGCACCACACTATGCCACCGCAACAGCGAGCACACCACAGGACAGCAACACGCCACGCAGCGATGTTTTGCTATTTCACACAATTCATTTACCGCACAAACCAAAACAGACATAATGGGAGAAGCGAAGCATCATTGCACAATGCCAAAGCAAATAAATAAAAATAAAAAATCAAAACCACACAGACCCCTCGCACACGCACACAAACACACCACAGTATTCTCCAGAAAAAGTCGAACAAATTGTTATCCCAAAACCCATTAAAACACGCGTGGTGCCGCCACATTAGCAACCAACACAAAAGGGAAAGAATGTATACAGCATATCCCTGGTAAAAATTATACAGACAAGCAGAGCACATAAATGTATATCCTGATAGGAAATGCCAATTGATATGGGCTTTTCTCTCTTGCAACCACTGCTGAGTGCGGGCCACGCAGGACTCAACCGCAGTCGCCTCGTCGTGCAGCGGCATCCATGCAGCCACCCAATAGAGTGTTGGCACGGCGGCGGCAGCAGACAGGGACAAGCAGCAGCAGCAGTGTTATTGCCGTGGATCGAAGGCGAGGCGTACTTCATGTCTGCCTCCCAACCCCCGCGCCCCACCGCTGCGTCATCCTCCCTCGGCGGAGGGTCCACGGCACCTTGCGCGTCATCAGCGGCATCAGGGCTCTTGGGTCCCGTGGCTGCGGCACCGCCACCGGCCTTGTCGCTCCCGGCCTCATCTCCTGTTGGATTGTCCCACAACAGACGTCACACCATCGGGAGCCACATCGTCGCTGTCCGGAACATCGCTCTTCTTCTCCGCCTCCTGCGGCGCACCCGCGGTGTCGCTGGGCGAAATCACTCCGTTGCCGTCGTGGCACCTGGGGCGACTTCCTTCTCCTCTGGCGACGGATGCTTCTGGGGAGCAGCCGTGTCTACGTCCCTTGATGGTTTTCCGCGGCCGTTCTCAATGCTCCCCGCAACGGGGACAGATGCCCCTGGCAATCCTTGTTCAGTATATGCCGGTGGAACCGTCCTGCTCCACATGCTCTCTCCTCGCCGTCCCACGGAACCATTGGAAGTAGGCTACCACTGGTGAAAGATATCGTGCACACCTGCGCGTGGTCACGGCAAATAACGGTCCCTCATCGTACGGTCGAGTGGCCCACGCAATCGTCGCCCCGTCCGTGCATGAGACACAACGGACGTTACCCTTTTCAGTCACTGCCAGATGCAAATGCATGCTGAGGCACCTCAATGCCGCATGCATGGCAGCACTGAGATGTGTCTCCTCCGGGTTCCTCGCATCCGTCGTGTTGGTGGAAGCGTGTCCAGACACCACGAAGAGGGCTCATCCCCAGGCATCCCAGACAAATATTCTCCCCTCTAAATAATGGCGTCAGCATCCCTCATATCCAGTGCGGGGTCAGTGATGGGGCAACTGTCCATTGGGCGTTTTGCTGACATTTCATGGATACTCCCCAGACACCAACCGCTAAAATAACGATCCGACGCGCAGCGTCTGGCAGGAACGCCCAATGCGCAGAGCATGTGGGGATATTCACTCATGTTCGGTGCGGAGCAATTCCTCTGCATTCGCCGGCGCACCCAATCGGTGCCATCCACTCATCCCTCGCGTGGCGCTGCGACCAGTGCGACTCCAGCGTCCTCCCGTCCCCATCGCCATCCTGCAGTTCCATGCCATCAGTGTCGCCGCAATATTGGTGCTCACTCGCTGCCATCGCGGCATTCGTCGAGTGCACCACCACCAACAACGCCCCGCCACGCACACCGGCAACATGCCTCACCATGCTGCGGCTGGCCATGTGCGGGCAGTCAAACCCGACAGCATGGACCAACAGGTGCGCGGCGATGCATCCGTGAAATGAAACTGACAGGCAAAGTGCATGGCGCCAGCGACTGGACGGCCATCCTCCAGCGTGACGCACTGCAGTGCCCACACACCACCCGGCGCCGCAGCCACTTACAGCACCATGAAAGAATTGACAACACCAGTGGAACGATGCCCAGCAGGCACCGTGAACCAACTGCAAACGCTGCTCGTGGCAAATGGAGGCACAATCAACGGACCCTCCAGTGGCTGGACGAGCAGACGATCCACATGCAGTTACACAGCAGCAGGGATAGCCTCCTCGGCAAGGATATTGCCGTGCGCAGAGGTCAAAACACCATTCTTACAGCCAAACTCCCCGTCGAACGAATTCACTTTGCAAGGCCGGTAGAGGCCGCAGTGCCCCCTGCTGTCCTCACAGTCCCTTGTTGACGCATTGGTGCGGACGGGAACCCATCGGTTCTTCCAAACAAAGCTCCAGGCCTGCAACGCATCCTGCGCTCTGAGACACGCGTCCCTCACCATAACCGGGATCGACCCCGCCGTCGGAGGAGACCACATCGTCAAAGAAGCAAGAATACTTCAGGCTGACAGCAAAGCAACCGCCGACAAATCACATCGCAGAGATCATCACAAACAGAAGAAGCAGCGCTGGAGGCCGTGGGGTTAACGTCGATCAACGGACGCATGGCGTATGTCAAAGAAAAGCTAATTGGCTTGAGAAGAATACAAGAGGCTGACACTCTCTCAACAAGAAAAAAGACAGTATCATAATACAAAAAGACAATTTTAAGCGTCAGCAGTCAAAGCATGCCAACAATCCAAAAAGTGTGGAAAAGGTGCACTCAGCTACAACACAAGTAAAACAGCAATAGACAAAAAAAAAGAAGCCGAAGCGTGGGACGACGAGCGCACAAACTCTCTCATTGCTCCCGTAAAGCAAAACACACACACAGGGAGAGAGAGAGAGAGGTCGCCCACTCAATGCAATGAAAACAAAACAGAAACAGTTACGGTGCTCCGCCCATGCAGCCAGGCAGGACGGCAGCGGTGCGTGTCGTGCAAAAGAGAGCACCAACGGGCATGCATGGGCGTGCATGCATATATACAATAGGTACATTATGTGTGTGCCTCGTGGGATGAGGTGAGGGCGAGAGTCCATGCAAGGGGACACACACACAGAGAGGGAGAAGGACGAGTGTGTGTGCGGGCGGTGCACGGCTCTCTCTCCCTCACTCTCACGCGGCCACCACCGCAGCAGCAGCCGCAACAAGAAGAAGAAGCAAAAGAGGGAAGGTGATGTGGGTGACCGCGGTGCTGCCGTCACTGTCTTGTGCATTTGCGGTTTTATTTGCAAAAACGGCATTTTTATCCTTCTTGAATTCTTGTTCATTGTCTGCGGGATGCTCATGGGGCGGTTGCTGTTTTTGTTGCCGTGTTTGTTCTTGCGGTGGTGACGGCTGTTGCATTGATTGTGGCAACGATAGTGGCAGTGTGCCATGCTCCTCTTGTGCCACTGGTACTTGCAGTTGTGGCTGATTTTCTAGTTTTTTTTCTTCATTTCTTCGTTGTCGCAATTCCACTTCTTCTTCTATTCTTTTTCCCGGATCATCGGTTTCTGGGGGTTCTTCTTCTGGTGAGGGCGATTTAAATTCATCCCCCCTTCCAGAACTCAAAACACCTTCGTCATTCTCCACATCATCTCCACCTGTTCCTCCCAAAGGTTTTTCTGAAGGTCCGCCTTGTGATACTTCTTTTGGTGGTTCTGGATTTAAACCTAAGTCTCCGTGTCCCAGCGCCGCAGCAACTGCTTTTTCCGTTTCATCTTCACCAAGATTCCCAGGAGCACCGTTTGCACCAACAGGATCCTTCGCGATCCCCTTCATCACACCTACCGCCGGCACCGCACCACAGCACGCAGAGGGCACACACCAGCAGCACACGGCCAGTCATC